GCTTTAAACTGAAAGAGGGTAGATTTCAATTAGATCTAAAGAAGAAATTCTTCACTCTGAGAACAGTGAAGCACTGGAAAAGTTGCCCAGAGAAGCTGTAGATGTCCCATCCCTGGAAGTGTTCAAGGCCAGGTTGGATGAGGCTTTGAGCAACCTGATCTAGTGGAAGGTGTCCCTTCCCATGACAGGGGGTTGGAACTAGATGATCTTTAAGGTCCCTTCCAATTCAAAACATTCTATGATTCTAGGAATTTCATGACTACATTGACAGTTATGTTTATGGGCATTACGAGTCAGCTAAACATGTTCAGTGCTTTCCATTCTAAACCCCCAGTTTTAGCAGCTTGCAATTTTTACAGCTTAAATGTCAGCATCTGGGCCAAATAATACTATATTAGAGACACCTCTGGCAGTTTTACCCATTAATACCTCAAATGGGAGCCATTCCATCCAAGTTTTGGCAAATGTGCTCATGTTGCAAGGCATAAAGAGACAAAGACAGTAAGTCCATAGGAAAGACCATGAGGCTATTAATCACCTTTTATTTGGAATTAAGCTAATGTGGTACTCAAGAGATGATGTTTAAGGACAAAAACTGACCAATGACAGTAAAAAAGAAACATTGAATAGAGCTTCCCATTCATTGAACACTGTCCAGTGGATGAAATAGTGTGACCTGAATAAAAATAGTGACAATCACATCCCTAGATTGCAATCAAAAAGTGACTGGGAAGAACCTTCGTTCTGATATGCTCAGCATTTAACAATTTGATCAAGTAACCTTAGTAAGAGGGTGGGAAGGATGATTACTTTTTGAAGGTAATAACAGTCCATCAAAGCTGTTAGTCTACTCCCGCTTTGAACGAAAACCAGAGAAAAAAAATAGCCCACGGTGAAGACCATGGTGAGGCTGGCTGTCCCCCTGCAGCCATGGAGGCTAACGGTGGAGCAGAGATCCACCTGCAGCCCATGAAGGACCCCACACCAGAGCAGGCTGATGCCTGCAACCCTGTGGGAATCCCGTGCTGTGAAGCAGGTTCCTGGCAGGAGCTGAGGTGCCGTGGAGAGAAGCCCACGCTGGAGCAGGTTTGCTGGCAGCACATGTGACCCTGTGGGAGAACCATGCTGGAGCAGTCTTTTCGTGAAGGACTGCATTCCATGGAAGAGAATCATGCTGAAGCAGTTCACGAAGAACTGCAGCCCGTGGGAAGGACTCACGTTGGAGAAGTTCATGGAGAACTGACTGCTGCAGGAGGGACCCCACAATAGAGCCGGGGAAGAGTGTGAGGAGTCCTCCTCATGAGGAGGAAGGAGCAACAGAGACAACGTGATGAACTGAAGGCAACCCTCCTTCCCCATTCCCCTGCACCACTGTGGGAGGAGGAGGTAGAGAAAATAATAAGTAAAGGTAAGCCTGAGAAGAAGGGAGAGATGGGAGGAAGGTGTTTTAAGATTTTTTGTTTTTATTTTCTCATTATCCTACTCTGATTTGATTGGTAATAAACTAAATTTCCCCAAGACTGTTTTGCCCATGACAGTAATTGGTGAGAGATCCTTCCTTGTCCTTATCTCGACCCACCACCCTTTTGTTATATATTCTCTCCCCTGTCCAGTTGAGGAAAGGAGTGATAGAGTGTCTTTGGTGGGCACCTGACATCCAGCCGGGGTCAACCGCCCCCACCATCTCAAATATAAATGCTCTCCTTACTCTTCTACATGCTTCAATTTACAGAAAGATTAACCCATTGGGAACAAGCACACCACAGAGAGGCTTTCAACTTCAGACAAGCCCTAGCACCCTATGGCAGATAAGTGAAATGATACAAATTCTCCTCAGTCTGCCTTGTGGTGGTGGTGGTGTTACTACTATTATTATCATTTATTAACATATTATTTTTTACTTTTAGTCCTTAATTCCACTTATTTTCTGCTATTTAATGCATGTTCAGACCAAATCCCTAGCTTTCTCATGCTCTCTGGGGGAATTTGTCAGCAAATATTTTTTCAACACATTGCTATATCCTGTGCTACTACTTTAAGCATAATGAAATACCTCACTTAAACCAGCGTGACTATAGGTACTCACTCAGCTTTACATAGCTTGTTTGCAAGATCCGTGTTCTGCCTGCTTTTTCCCCATTTCAAACTACCAGGATGCCTTCCAAAACGAGCCCCATTCAGGCAACTGCAAAGCCAACAAGCTTGCTTACATGGGAGGCCAAAAACTGGTGCAACGAGTCAAACTCTTGTCTCATTTACACTTATATCTAATATGAATCTGTGCTTCTTCATAATGTTCCTCAGTTCTGAAACTCAGGAACTTTTGAATCAGATACATTGCCAATATATAGTTGTCTAATCTCTGGCATGCATTTTTGAAATAGCTTAGCCATGATTCTGTGAGGGAGTTTGATTTAGGTGGTGGAGATCAGAAACTGAAGAAAGAATTATCCTGGGGAGGAAAAGAAAATGTGTCTTGCAGAAATGCCATTTTCAGAGCTTGAGAAAGGGTAGTTAAGTGTAAATACAGAACAAATGATGCTTCTTCTTTAAGCCCTTTAGTTATTCCTCAGTGAGAGGCAGGGAGATACATGCAAATTATTTCCAAGTTGCCTAGTCCCACAGTAAACTAAGTAGTCAGAAATGACAATGAATTAAAGATCGAAGCTTTTGGTAGTTATAGGGAATTTAATTTTGATGTAGACTCAAGTGTATGACTGAAATACTTTTCCTCTCTTTGAAGCTGCTATTTACCTAACCGCAGTTAACAAATGGCGTTCAGCAATAGAAATATTGTGTTGCTCTTTTGTAATTTATCTTACTCATTTTCACATGAACACAGATATTTGTTCTGAAGAAGGTGGGATTTGATTTTTGAAAGTAGCACAGATACTTTGCATTCATTTTGCACATCATTTGGATGCACAGCTCTGACAAATGTGTATCTTCTGTGATGACACATTTATAATATGTAAGGACCAATATCTGCCTTGTAATGTTAACAACAAAATGGCTGGAAGAGCTTAACACAGCCAGCAGAAAGGACTGTGAGACTGACTGCATTTTCAGCTGAGTCTCAGAAGTAAGTTGGTAAAGCAGGTAAGAGTTATGCCGGTACAGATCACCATGAGATAATTAGACCCTGTGTAAGCACTGACACTAAATATGCGTTGTGTAAGCAAAGCATGATGTAATTTTCCTTCTTTTCATTCCACTCTATAAATATAATTTAAAAATGTAGAGGAAGTGCTGTTTTCTCGCTGTCAGTTGTTGACCATCAGCAAAGGTGAGTCAACATCTCACCGTAAGTAATAAAAGCACAAAGCCTCAGAAATCAATATTGGTTTGAGCATGCGTTATTGAAAAGAAACTATAACTGAAAAAATCCTCACAGCACAGTAACCCTAGTGAAACCACACAGAAAAAAATCCCAACAAAACAAAAAAAAACAGGGATGTGTTCTTCTAGTAAGTCCTGTATTTACTACAAAAACAGGCTCCAGGAACAAGGCTAGACATCTGCACATAGCTGAGCAGTGAGGTGCCGTGCATCAGCTCAGTTGAGAGGGGCCAGGCAGGCAACAAGCAGGGAGCAGGCACTGACCCCACTCCATGGGAGCCCTGGGGGTGCACCCTCCACTCAACCCCGTTCACTCCCCATCTCTTTAGCAGTCTCAGTAAGAAGACTAGACTGAGAGGATGTCAGTTCTCTGTCCTATAAGAAGTGCACAAGTGAAACATCTGAGCCTGACTCACTGCAACCGCCCTGAGCTCCTCTAACCCACCTCTATCTGGCTTGAAAGTGGCTACTTCAGGGACCTCTTCCCTTGAAAGCAGTCCTGTCAAGGCTCGAGTTTTTTCACCAATTTGATGAGTCCTTCCCTGGAGTGCTGCTTTCAGACGTAGCATTTCACTGAATGAAGTCAGCAGCATGTACATGGTGTTGACTACTCAAATAACCAAGAGCTACATGAGTACTTTCAGATGCAGGATCCTTCTGACTAATATTCCTCTCATGTCTGACTAATGAGGGCTGGTTAAAATGTCAAGAGTTTTTTGGGGTTTTTTTACTACCTTGTTTCTTACTCATTCTCACAGTAGATGATAATGAACTGACATGTTGTTTACTCATTCGTTTGTACAGTCCTGTGGGGATAAAAGAGTTGCTGCAGCTTAACCACTTCTGTGTAGTGTAGGAAGTCTGATGGATGTATGAATAAGAGTGACTGTTTCTGCCTGGAAGCAAACAGACTTGGCTCTGTCATTTAAGAGTAGGTCCACACTGAAGATAATGCAGAACTACTGTTGCCCAAATGGGAGAAGTCTGCTTCAGTACAGCAAAATTTCTCCTGGAGCTCCCCTACCTGCAGCTCTGAATTTTTCCACTGCCAGTGAAGGAGAGCAAGGTCACACCCATGGCATCCTCACTGACTCTCTTGGAGATGTGCAAAGAGCCCTTCCTGCACCCTCTGAGCACTGACCCAGGGAAGCGAGAGCAGCAGTCCCCAGGCACATGAATGGGCAATGGTAAAGGAGCTGGCTTAGCCCTCCCACACATCTCTGGAGCTACCTCTCACCCACCAAACCTGGACCTCCACTGATGGCCTGGCTTCCCAGCACAGCTCCAGAGCCTGAGTGCTCCTTCAGTGGAGCTTCCATGGCTCTCATGCCAAGCCCTTGCAAAATAGCAAAGGGATTTTGCTTGACATTTGTGAAGCAGAAACATCACTGATCAGACTGTCATACAACAGAGCATAATCCAATATATACCTAAAGGCAGCAATAGCCTAGGAAAGAGCCTGGGGGAGAAATGCCTAAAATGGAGAGGCTGTAAAGAAAATGCATGTATAAATGCATACTAAAAAGAGTAGGCAAGGTGAAGAATGCTGTCAATATTTACTCTACTGCAACTGACCTCCCCATCAGCTCTTTCAGGTCATTTGTTAAATGCATGGAAACTATTGATTTTGTCTAATAAAATCATTTCCGTGCATTTCACAGGGACGACCGCTAAGCATGGCCTGCGCTGCAAGGCTTGTAAGATGAGCATCCACCACAAGTGTGCGGACAGCATCGGACAGCAGCGTTGCATGGGCAAGCTGGTAAGTGAGCAGGGCAGGGCAGCAAGTGCGGTGGGAGGCACCAGCTTGTGCTGGAGCCGCTTACTTCATGTGCCTGGCCCCTGGCTGACATTTAGCGGGTGCATTAACAGAACCGACACCAGATCACTTTACTGAGGTGGGCAAAGTACAGCCAGATGGTGTCTTGTTATAAGTTTGGGCAACTGCTACCACTCAAGAATCTGAACAAAAATGGAACACAAATCTAGTCTGCTTTGTGGATGTAAAAATATAGTTACATTATCCAAATTTAGCTAAATAACAGAATTAATTCCCTTGATTTAAACTGTGCTTGCTGTAATGTAAATCTCTCGAGGAATGCTATAAATTAGTCAAAATATTTCAATGGAGTTTAACAAATGAAAAATCCTTCAGATTATACTTTATTGTTTTTTCCACTGTTAGGGCTCAAAGAAAAAACATAATTCATCTTAAAAAGTGGATCAAAGGATATTTCACAAAGAGACACTACAGAGTTTGAAGCAATCACTCAGTAGGAGAAGCTGGGAGGAGACCTGCCCCTGTATGAACACAGCACCTTAGTGTCTGGGTCACCTTCTGAGCAGCAAATTCTCATTATTGGCAAAGGCAGGACAGTGTGTTTAAAACAGTTCTAACCCAACTTGATAACTTTTATGAGAATACAGTTATTTTGGTTACTTTTGGAAAAAGAACTTGGGAAAACGACCATCTGGAATATAAAAACTGAATACATGTATTCATGTTTCAAATGCTCTGATTTGTTGCAACCTGAAGGCCCCTGAGACAAATATGAGCAAAAACCAAAGAGTTTCACTGTGTTAAATAATGAAAAAATGCAAGCATTGACTTTAAAAGGGCTAGAAAACCTACCTTTCACTGGAAAGACCTTTCTGTATTCAGTGAAAGTTGTTGTTTATACACCTGAGGCAAATCTTAATGCATTTAAACTATAATCATAGTCCTAATGTGAGGCATTCTGGTATAGGAAGTTGGTCTTTGAAGAGCTGAATGACCTCATTGCAAGGCCTGGACAAGCCAAATATTAAATCATGTGAATTGTTTCACACATTTCTTGATTCCAGCCTCAGCTCTGTGGTCTCTAGTTTACAAAAGCAGAAAAGTAGAGGCCAAATTTACAGCAGGAAGTCATCCAGCAAAGTCACGGGAGTTTAATGAGCTAATGTTGTGTCTGAATCTTGTTTGGGGGCAAACCAAGGCTGGAGAATCTGAATTCCTCTAAGAAACCAATTTTTTCAATGTCTCCCTCATTCTTTCTCAATCTATACTGCAGCTTATTAACAAAAGAACTAGTTGTCTACCTTTTTTTTATGTGTACTGAACACAGGATATGGAAAATATGCACATCTCCATGAGGCTTTTCCACTTCTCACTGTGACTGGTAGTTCTCACAGCCTGTAAAAATTAGACATCTGAGAGACTTGTTTGTGAATCTCTAATACCTTGAAGGGCATCCCCAAAGACTTAGATGTTAGCACCTTCATTTTGGGTACTCAGCCTTTGCCTGAGATATTTGCTAGCTGAGGTAGTAAATAAAGAGGTAACAGGAAATGTTTAACCTTCTAAGAATGGGTTTTAGAGTGATATAGGGCACCGTTATTTGCCATATTGTGATATTCTTTAATGGTATAGGTTGAGTTGTTATAATGCGTTTCTCTACAAATGGACATTGAGAGAACATCTGGTGACGACTTGAGGGGTTTTTTGACTTTACAAGAGAAAAAAGCAGTTGAAGCTGCAGTCAGTCAGCAGCAAATCTTAAAAAAAATCTATAGAAAGGCTCTAAATTCCTTGGATTTCACAAATGCATGTGTGAGAACATGAGGATTTGGAGTTAGGGTGGGGAAGGATAGTCACGTGTTTAGCAAATGCAAAACAATGCAAATTCACTTTACATAAGAAGAAAGGGAGAGGGAAACTTCCCAGAACCTCTAATGATTCAACACTTCTGCTGTAATTAATTAGTGCTGCTTTTGTGTAATACAAAAGAAAAAGGGGAGATGAAAATGAGCCCCTCCTTCCACACAAATACGGGAAATTGGTTTTTTTCCAGGAGAAAAGTCAAATAAATCCCTGATCTCTAAACCCCACAGTGACTCAACAGGAGGCAAATTTCCAGCCTCGCCACACTGTTATGCCATTAGCTGAAGAGCTGAGGTTGTTTCTACTAACTCAATCATGGCATCCATGCATTTCACGTGTTTTTGCTTTCTCTCCCTCCAGCCAAAGGGATTTCGACGGTACTACAGCTCCCCCCTACTCATTCATGAACAGTTTGGCTGCATCAAAGAAGTGATGCCTATTGGTAGGTTTTGATTGCTTTTCTGTTCAGTCTCCCTTTGGCAGTGCTCTGCAACAGCAGCGGCAGACTTCCAGCTGTGGTATTTACCCTCAGCAGCCTTCCAGCTCCTTTCAGTGACTGGATGTCCTTCTGCCATCTCAGGAAAGGACCACTTCAAAGATACAAAGCTGGAAGAGGAGAGGGTGTGTTTATTGTGTGTTTCACTCAAAACCCTGTCTATATAACCTCTTAGCAGTTACCCTGTCTGTAGGAATAACTACCTGCAATCAAGGTAGGAACTTAAAAGGAAGGAAACACTGGAATATTGAGGTGAAGGTCTGAGCTGGGAAGAACTAGATAAAAGACAGATCAAAACAGCTGGAAGCATTCCAACCACTGGTCTGGCTTCTGAGGGATGTTGCCAGATTTCTTACTGTCCTTCTTACTTTTGCTTACTTTCGTTTCTTACTTTCCTCATATTTTTCCTTATTGACCGTGTCTACACTGCTCACTGTAATACCAAATTCCTGAAAAGAAACATTTTGAAATGAAGAAGTTGAGTTGATTCAGAAAATATTTCTCTTCACCAGTACTCTGACCAGGCAAGCCTGGGAACACAAAAAATGAAGCCAAAACTAGGCAGTCAGTTTAAAATTAATTGTCTAGGGACATTTACTTTGTTGTTTTCAGCAGGGTTTGGTTTTGTTTTTTTTTTTTTAAAAAAAAGTTAATTACATGTATTTCATCTAAGTTTCTCTTTCTAAAAAACATCAGTCTTTTTTGTCAGAAGTAATAGAAAAATCTAGAACAAACTCTGGCTAAAAAATGACATGTGCTTTGCTCTCATTAAAATTCAAAATCCTTTGTATTTTCTCAGTACTTTGGCCAAAATTTCCCTCCTTCTACACAGTGCTACAAATGTACTGTATTCTACGTGTTTACTGCCGTGTACTATGAGGGAGGCTGAGGTCTAATGATGCCGTATGTAGAAGAGGATTTGAACTGAACTTGCTTATGCCAATTGAAGACACCTATTTCTTTGCTATGGAAGATGACTTTTGGGGCCGGCTCTGAGGGAGAGTGGGAGTGAGAATTGAATGGACATACACCAGTGGGGGTGGTGGCCTTTCTGGCTACCCCTAGACTGAGCTGAGCAAGCTGGAGCACATTCCCAACAGCAGGCATCTACTCACACCTGCCTCCAGACCCCATATGGCCCCATACTGGGGATGTCAGTACCTTTCAAGGAAGATCCAGGCCATCCTGTTAGCCTACATTAGCCAAGTAGGAGCACTGTGAGGATAGATGGATAAAGGTGATGGCCCACCCATACCACAAGGATGCTCAGGCACAATGCAAGGTTTTTCCCTTTAAGCATCTACTGTTGAGAGCAATCCAACAGGTCAGTGGTAGGAACAGGCAGAAAACATGGATTAAACCCTCCTAGTACTTTGTCTTCCTTACCTCAGTGTAGGCAACATCAGCAGTGATTAGAGAACGAGGATGGCAGGAGAAAAGAGACAAGGCAATGGCAGGGTCCCAAAGAACCTGTGTGAGCATAGGAAGATCTTTACAGGAGCAGAGAGGCAGCAGAAAATTGTTAGCAAAAGCCAATTCCACTAAGTTCATCAAACAGTTTTTGTCAGGATAATCTCCCAACTTGTGTCTAAGCATGCTCCTCAACAAATTGGTAGAGGCAGATGTTTCTCCAAGTGGAGCAGGAACATGGCTAGAAGTATCCTCAAGGGATTGATGTATGTTTTTCTCCTTCTGTTGCAGCCTGTGGAAATAAGGTTGACCCTGTGTATGAAACTCTCCGCTTTGGGACTTCCTTAGCCCAGAAAACCAAAAAGGGCAGTTCTGGAAGTGGGTCTGACTCTCCCAACAGAAACTCTGTAAGTATCCCACACCTTTCTTCCATTTTCTTTCTGGAGGAGGAACAGATATTCATTCACAGGAGTTTGTATCAGAGTTCACAAAACTTGTATTTCAAACTGTAAAAAAAAAAAAAAATAGTCACTGTCAGCTTCCAAAATGAGACCAGAAAAAAATATTATTTTTGCAAACTCGGGTTTAAGTATCTGTTAGATGACTCTCAAAAAAAAGAGAAAAATACAAATTAAATTAATATTCTTCTTTTATCTGATTGGAAAAGGAAATTATATTCTTTTGATTTTGTGTACCTATGTAAAAGTGGCAGAGATATTTAACTATCATGCTGGAGTAGAGGCATCCTGTCTGTTGTTGATGGTGAACATTCACCCTTCATAGAAGTAATAGCACTGTGTTGGAGTCCTCAGAGCCTAGATTTAAAAGTACAAGCTCCGCTGTACAAACTCAGCCAAAATTAAGCTACTACTACTGCAACAAGGCAATGGACTGACACCTCCACCTCTGCCCAGTGTAGACTCAGGAGTTGAGGCATCACAGATTTGGGCTCCCCTCTCCAAAACTCAAATACAGGCAGGTGTGCTCAGCTTGTCATATCCAGACAGGGAGATTTTCACCTTCATGTTAATCTTTGTCATTCACTCTCTCCTATCATAAAAGTCACCCCCTTAAGGCCCATGACAGAAGAGCTGGAGAAGGAGGACAAGAGCAATGATAGTTCTCTTAGCCCTGCCTTTGCTAAATCCCAATCTAGTTCAACAGCAACAATTACCAATTTCTTCCTTACAGAAATGGTTATTTCAACACTACAGGGACCCATGAGATCAGGGGCTCGTTCATGGTGTTGAAAGAACATTTCATATCCTCTCAGCCGTCATAAACAGGCACTTAAGCCTATGCTTTAGACTGTTTTTTCTTCTAAGAGATCCTCCCCACACTCCTGCCCTGAAAAAAAAAAAAAAAAATCACACCTGAATACACTGGAGGCTAAAGCTGATAGTCATATCTAAAAATCAGACCCATACTATCTGACAATCTCTCCTGCACTCACCTCAGAATAAAAGTCACCAGGCACAGAGACATAACGAGACTTGGTCACCAGGCCTCAGTGCAAATATTTACACGTTTAATTTAAAGTTGGGTTAATATCTGTTTATGTTGAGTACAACACTGCCCTGGCACTTAAATGCATGCTTACTCATGTGGTTGAACTATAACCTCAGGTGGTATAGGTGGCCTCTAAACAGACATCCATCTGTGTCAGATGGGAAAGCAGACAAATTTAAACAAGAACTAAGTAAAATCTGCAAGGGAGTTATTAAAGGACATGTCCTCTATCCACCCTTGATTGCGCCTTAAAAGGAATTCCGTAATTTCCATTCGTTTTTAAAACCCAAAGTGACTCGACCACCTGTCGCATTGTGATTACAGTTCTTTCTTTCAGTTATTAAATTTACTTTGAAACAGAAGTTCTACAAATGTAATTATTGCTTTCTAAATCAATAAAGCCTTCTGTTGAATTATGAATGACAACTCAAGCGTAGAAATCACGAATGCTGTGTCAGCTTGCCCTAGGGAGCTGATCATAACTAGGTGGAGTGTGGGTGTAGAATAAGGAACGCAAGTTCATTATGGGAAATTCTCCAAGGTAATGAGTCTGAGAGGAAAATATAACACGTGTCAGCATTTAGAAAACAGAAAATATTAGAGAGCTGAATAAACACACATGTGAAACCATAACTTCTACCAGTGCAAGCCTGTGGATTGAGACAAGGATAAAAACCAGAGGCAGACACAACCTTGATCCAAACGATGGGGCCATGGAGCTTTACAACTGCGATGTGTGCCCTAGGAGCAGGCACTGACCAGTGACCAGAGCAAGGACATGACACAGAGCCCTTAGAGCCCAGGTTTAAAACACATCAGAGCATGTGAGCTAGCAGCACAAGTGCAGCTAAGAACGCATAGGTTTTTTTTCCTAGTGGTCCTCACTACTGTGCTGCTCTGCTTCTCTTAAAGCAGAAGCAGCAATGCAGCTATGAGGTTCACAGCAGCACTGGGGCTTTGCGGCTGGGCTGTGCCCTAGCCTTGGGAGCTGGGGAGTGCTTCAAGGTTCTGCCATGTCACCAAACCAGGGACACCAGGGACATGGTGACACCGGGGATCCTACTTCACCTTGCAGGTAGTGTTCAAGCTGTCAAAGGGCTTGCTCTGGGTCAGAGCTGCATAGTTTCTGAAGGTAGTTAAAAGCAGCGGCAACTAGCCTGGGAGCCATGCCCTGCTTCTACAGCCATGAAGCTTTCAGGACTGCAGTTCGTGTCTGCACAGAGTAGAGACAACCATCTTGCTCTGAACTAGCCAAAGTATTTTTAACATGACTGATCAGTGTTTTTTCAGCCTGGATTCTGCATTTCCCATAAAAGAAAGTGGCCATATGCTCCAGATTTACTACCTACTGCTTCCTTCAAAAATGTGCTTCTGCAACCCACATTTACGCAGAAAGTCACTCAAGGTGATGTAAATATGATTCCGATTCTTGTTAGTTTTTTGTGGATCAGCTTCTCTCAAAAGCAGCTTTGTACTTCTATCATTTCTATTAGATCATTTCTTATATAGCTCTTGACTTAAAAAATCATTAAAGACAACTGAGGTTACTTCAGGAGGTTTCGGATGAGGTATATACTGAAGAGACAGTCACTGTACATCCTATATGCAATAGGACCCGTCAAAATATGAAGCTAATCAGCAGTTACAAAGCTAGTTTATGAAGACTGAGGAACATGCCGTAGCAATGAGCCAAAGAATAGCTGAGATGTACTATTTCAACAAAGCCAGTCTTTCCCTTCTCCACTCAGCAACTGGAATTCCCTAGGTATGCTCTACACTGACTCTTTGTTAGCATTGCTATTGCAGTGCCTTCTCATTCAGGGGTGACCTATTTGTGCAAGATGCAAGACCAACATGACCTGCTGCAAAAGGCTGGGTCTAAAACCAAGGCAGAGCAGTAAAGTAGAAGGCTCTTAAAATAGCAAGGGAAACAAGATAACCACAAGATACCTATGACATAAATCTACTTTTAACCTCTTTTTTCATTAGTATCCTTGGATGGAGAAATAGCTGGGAAAGTACTAGATAGGGGAAATAAAATTGTCAAAGTACTTTCTAAAAAAACCTTCGTTGTCAACACTAGTGAAAGGAAAAAAAAATCTGAATTGCTTTATAGATTTTCATATTTTGTACTCCCTGAACAAAAGCAGTGAATGTTCCTCATTTGACTTTTCTTCCTGTAACACAGGCAAAAGTCTACGAAGCAAGGGACAGAGCTATGCATACAGTATAATTCTAGAGTGTCATGGAATAATGAAGTTAAATCCTTCCGTGTGTCTTAAAATCCTGTTAACAAGAAATAAATAAAGCTTAGGACCATACCAGGATTTACAGTTTTTCAGATGAGAGGGAGCACCCGACTCAAGTTCAATGTTTTGCCGTTTCGTGGTTATCGAAGATGTTTTACCCAAAAGAAGTCACATGTGGAGAGTTCAGAAACTGAAATTCAGTGAGGGCAGATTCAGACAAAGTTGTTGGTTTTGGTCAGCTCTTGGTTCCTGTCTGGTTATACATGGAGAAGCTGACTAATCAACCAGGGAATCCAGTGCCTTATGCAAAGTATACTTCTGAGGCTTGAGATTACGTCATCCCAAGTTTTCCTACACTGTCAAACAATGCATCCCTGATCATGATTGACATTAATATAGTACAAATAAGAAATCATAGTAATTCTAGCAACGACATTTGAGTTTCATTTTTCCCTAATCATACCAGCTAGATGACTGTTTAAAAAGAAAGTGAAGGCAGATATTTAAAGGCTGACTTCACCAACTCCATCACACTCTAGCTCCTTCTTTCACAGCATGTTAACAGAATTAGAGTCATCCTTACATTACAGTTATTTTAATGGATAATGAATTAGTGGTCAATAAGTTACCAGTCAATAGTTTCAATTAATGTCTAATCTCCTTGGTAAGCAGCTATTTAGTATACCTGCAGGGTGTATAAATTCCCCCAAGCACCTTCTATTTTATACGGAGAACCACATTGTTTAACATAATCCTTTGTTCCTTAACTTTCACTTCACTTTATACTGCAGAAATCTTTTGTACTCCAGACTGGAAACTTGGTCTGGAGTTCTTTCTGGGCTTTTACTGCTTCCTGTGAAGTAGGTATTTGTTGTGCATCACCAGATGCAATGTTTTCTGCAATCCCATTAGGCTGACTTGCTCTGCTCTGAAAGCACTCAAGTACAAAGGCTCTTGTGTGATCTTATTTCGCCTCATCACTCCCTTTTTCTGGCTTATCCCATCTCATTTGCTCTTTCTGTCCCTGCAGACAGCTGACCTGGCAGAAGTTCCTGAGGAAGGTGATAGCTCTGCAGGCACCCTTGACATAAGCAGGAAACGCAGCAACAGCGGTGAGTGCTGCCAGGCCAGGATAACATCTTCAGATGTATAGACCTGTGTGCAATCTATTTCAGATGGTTTTTTATGGCATGTCCATGTTTTAGCAACATTATGGTTTTCAAAACGGGAGGTGAATGGGGCATGTAGTTGGTGTAAGAATTTGGGGAATTCTTTTTGACATTCAGATGAAATCCAAGCCACCAGTTTCCTTAATTTGTGTCCAGAGCCAACACTGGACAAGGTTCAGGTCCATTCCTCATCTCCTACGGTTCCTAAGCATGGCTGTAGACTTATCACTTAACATGCTTCAGTTCCACATTGGCAAAGTGGAACAAAAATAATATTTCCTTTCTCTTTCATATGTTTGACTTGTCTATATGTCTCTATACACGATAACCTCTTTGGAACAGGAAACGAATCATATAATATCCATGTGTCAGTGAAGTATCCAGCACAAGGCATCTTGATTATAATTGCAGCTCCTCAGCACTATAGTATGTGCCCAGTAATATTAATAGCCTGATTTCTTTGTCTGCTTTGCGGTACGAGAGTAATGTTTTTACAGCATTGGTGTGATGGGATTTCAAGACCATCATACCGAAGGCTTAGTAATGAAATCTCAGCCATTGAGGGATGATGTTTGTGACCCTGTTCTTGAATTCAGTCATGGTGAGAGAAGCTATGAGTACAAAGGGTTTTGGAGCACTAAGCAAAACTTCAGGCCCAAAGCATCACAGAAACTTCTCTAACAGCACCTGAAGCTCACATGAGATGTACACTACAAAAATAAATCACAGTGAGCATAGCTTTCTTCTGTTAGACCTCCAGTGCTCCTTACATGCTGCTCTCAGTTCATGTAGGTGAAATGCCAGCTTCAGCTCTCCATTCCTATTTTATGCTAACTCCTCATTCCTTTCCTCCCCTCCTGGTTTTATCACTTTTCTTCACTGTGTTCCGCCATTTCCTCCTTCTCATTTTGTGAACATCCCATCTATGTTATCTTCTTTCTTCTGAAAATTTTTTTAGGTTTTCTGTCTTGCAATTGCAAGTTGACCTGACCTGGTTAAAGATAAAGAATTCTGCCTGCTTCACATAGTTTAATCCTGCCCACCTGAGATTAATTTAGCCCTGTCTGAGTTTTCAGAGAACTTTTTATTTCATTGTCATCAGTAGTTTCATTTCTGAACCCCAAAGAAACTTTTTTCTCTGAGATCTGCATTCACTGAATGCACTGAGAGGCATTCAAGGAACTTACTCAAAGAGATTAGTTTAAAAACTCAGCATGTGTCAAACATCCAAATAACTTCCGTGGCACATTACTGATTCCTTTGATCAGCACTGGCTTTTTCACAATCCATCCTTCAGAGGCTCAGGGTATAAATTATGCATCAGTTACTCCAAAAATTTCCCCTTGGTAGACTTCTAATAAACTGCCCGCACTGTTTGCACAAACTATGGAAATCGCAGAATCCTTTTCAGACTTTAAAAATCCTCGCTTTTTTTTTTTTTTTTTCCGTTGCTGCTAGGGCAAACAAATATGAAAATAGATGGATTTCTCTTGTGCGGAGACGTGAACTACATACCTCTATGGTCTTCAAATTCAAGTGCCTCCTAGTAATATCCAGAGACCATGAACTAAACAGAGATTAAAAATTTAACAAAGTAAATTCAAAATGTTTTTACAGAGTGATTCACCACTGCTTTTCCTTAGTTGTCCACTGCCTCTTTAGCAGGCAGTTCCACATTAAATCCTTGATGAATCTGGTCCATTCCAGTTCTCTTTTTTTTTGGCTTTAAAAAACTTTCTTCTGCAAAGAAGATTTTAGGAAAATGTACATTTGAGATTCTTTGCTTAAATGGAAACAGCAGAAAAGACACAGCCTGCAGCAGAGTGGAAGGACCCAGAACATGTGTGGCCATGTAATGGCTCCTATAGACTCTTGCAACAACAACTTCAAGGGAAGATTCTTTCATTCAGGCCCTGACACATACACTATGAAGCAAAGCTTCCTAGTTTACAACTGTGAGATGGCATACCTGATTTCCAGCCCTGTAGCCTCCTCTAAGCCAGTTATACTCCTTCACTGCTGTGAATTACCATCCATAACAGAAATCCTGCAAGCCAAAATGTACTTTAAGTGACATATATGAGCCTGTTATCAACAGGGATTTGAGCACTTTCCCCTCCAGTCAAATATGGGGTGTTTTTCCTGCAAACCCAGGTTTGGTGAGCACTTCTCGACAAACACAAGGATACAGTCCAGCTCCCTCCCCACCTGCTGGGTCAGCTCCATGGTTCTCAAAGCTGTACAATAGTAACTTCGCTTTATTTTCTGTCACCAAGCAGAAATTGCTCCAAACATGCTGCTGAAATACTTCCACTTCATCCGGTGAACGACTTTCTGCAAGTCCAAAATGCTTCTGGTTACACAACTTGTTATTCACCCGATAACTTACTCAAACTTTTTCTGTTTGCCACCCTACCTCCTTTTCCTCTGGACACAAAAAACAAAGCATAGTAATTTGAGTAAGACCTAAACACTGCCAGATTTTAACAGTAGTATTTTACATCCCTTTATAAAGATGTCTGATATAAATACACTCCTATACTAGAAGACGTAGGAAGTTAATTTTATTTTTAAGGTTTTCCCTCTGGTACTGATGACAGTTTGCAGGGTCAGAGTCCCTCTACAACAGCTCTTGGTGAGGAGCACAATGAGGTCCCCAGGTCAACTGCTGTCACACCACCTGGAGACAACTTGGGGCATTTTCAGGTTAAATGGTGCAGGTACTAGCTCACATGTTGTCTTCACATTCACACATTGGACTTTATGACTACAATATTTTCTTACGTTTTATCAGAGAACATGTGCTTTTTGTGTGCTCGTGGATGTGTGTCACTTTGTACAAAATCTTTCTCATGCCTGCTGTGGCTGCCATTTTACTTATCTTTCCTGTGTTACAAGAACACTACGTTTTTTTTCGATGTCTAAGTACAACTCTCTACTATCAAGGGACCTTACTGTTTCTTTCAGAAAACTTCATCAAAGACTCTTTGGTTGTAATTTACCATGTAGAATAGTCACAGAAATACATGTTAATAGAAGAAAGGGTGAGCAAATGAAAGAACAAAGGAGGAAAGAAATTCAGCAGTTTGGTGTTGCCTGGCACCTTCTTTCCCCTGAACATACGTAACTGTATCACAGAGAAACAAAAAGAGTATGCACTCAATCAGCTTGCTACTTATTACAATTTTGGAGATTTCTGAATTGTTAGAGATTACAAAATCCAGCTTCTGCTCAAAACACCTGCGGAAGTAAATGGTGGGAGAAGATGCTGATGGTTCAAGCCCCTCAAAGACTCCACTTATTAAAATAATATTCAGACTTTATCCAGAAGCAAAAAACATCAGGCAATTCTTAAAACGTGAAGGGGGAATTCAGTCAATGTATTAAAGCCACTGTGATTTTTCTAGGGAGATAACTGAGGCATCAGTCGGCTCATGAAGCAATTATGATAGAGGGTAACTGATTAGATATCAGGTATGTTAGGTGCCATGGCTGTTGTCTTATTCTGTCAGTTTCTAATTTAGTAACTTAAAAGCAAATTTTCACATATATAGTTTTGCATCTCAGAAAACCCACCCCAATTTGAAAACAATTCAGGTACCTACCTCCTATAAAATCAGAGAGAGGGGCAGCATATCCAGTGCCTCCCAAGCAGAGACTACTAGAGAGAGAGGTCAAAGGCAGCTATCAAACATTTAGAGATAGAGGGTCAAAGAAAGGATTTTTACATACAAACTTCCTGCAATATTACTCATTTATGGTCATCAGGTTTTTCAGATACTTTTAAATGGAAATCTTGCTCGTCCTAAACATAGAATCGTAGAATCATAGAATGGTTAGGGTTGGAAGGGACCTTAAAGATCATCTAGCTCCAACCCCCCTGCCATGGGCAGAGAAATCCTCTACTACACCAGGTTGCCCAAAGCCTCATCTAACCTGGTCTTGAACACTTCCAGGGATGGGGAATCCACAACTTCTCTGGGCAACCTGTTCCAGTACCTCACCACTCTCAATGTAAAAAATTTCTTCCTTATATCTAATCGAAATCTCCCCTCTTTCAGTTTAAATCCATTGCCCCTTGTCCTATCACTACACGCCCTTGTAAAAAGTCCCTCTCCAGCTTTCCTGTAGGCCCCCTTTAGGTACTGGAAAGCTGCTATAAGATCACCCCGGAGCCTTCTCTTCTCCAGGCTGAACAGCCCCAACTCTCTCAGCCTGTCTTACATGGAAATACAACATTCAGTGTAAGGAAAATGCTGCTGGATTTTAAATAGTAATGAAACTAGGGGACCTAGATTCTATTCTCAGTGCTGTACTTGTGTATATTCATCTGATCAAAATGGTTTATTTGTTGCAATTGTAAATTCTTCAAGACAGAGATTGTTTTGTGCCATGTGCCAGTGGTATATGTGGTTTTGTTGGAAGTGTAGAAGGGTTCAGAGGACATCACAAGGCATCAAAAAGTAAGGATGAAAGGGAAGAGATCAACAAAATAAAGGTGATCTTGTTGACCTGAAGAGGCTTAAACTACTCCTAAAATGTCATGTGTTTGCTTTATTTCAGTGTTTACATACTCCGAAAATGGCACAGAACACTTTGGAGAAGAACCAAAAAGTATACATTCCCCGGTATGGGCATAAATTTTGTGAGAATGCAATGGGAATGGGGAGTTATATGAAAGTCTTTTTTTTATGGATAGCTGAGGACCTTAATGAGGTCTGCCAAGACACTATTCTGGAGAAGCATCAATATCTGACTGTCATGTTCATATACCGCTTTTGGGCCACTGCCCACAGTTGGAAGCAATATACAGGACTGGATGGCTCTTTGGTTTACCTATTATGGTCCCTTTTATATTCTTCCTTTTATTACAAATTGATATTGTGAACACAAAAGATCCAGTGGCGAGGCCGTGTCATTACAATAGAACTGCAGTAACATAGAAATCACAGATTTGGTTTGTAAAATTGTTTGGCGTTTGGTTTAGGTGCTTCTTTTCCTCCAGATTACCAGTGGATAAAGGGAGGAGAGAGAGTAGTCAGTCTTTGTGGAAAGCCCAGTGCAAGCATCTTTCCATTTAAGTGAATATCCCATCCTGTTTTTTGGACCTGTGCACTGTACAATTCTCCATTCCTAATGAGGACTGTATAGCAGACACCTTACATAATGCCAGTAATACGCTACTGGGCTTGTAAGAGTCATACATTAACAGAGAGAAAAAGGCAAACTCGTTTTCAATCAAAATCTCATCCAAAAGACCAACTTGTCCAGATTTCTGTTGTATTCTTTGGAAGCCTGAAATTTGATCTTGGGGTTCGGATAATCTTATTTCTAAATGAAGATAGTTGCTGCCTTAGTGCCTCACAGTGTGTCTGAGTCTTAGTCCTCCAAAGTGTGAAATCAATGAGATGATTCTGGCTCATTTCTTGGAAGATCAGGCCCTGGTTCCTCAATATCTAACAAAGTGAACCAAATTCCTGTACAGGACAGATATTTATATTTTCTCTTTCTCTTTTTTCTTGAAGGGACCATTTTGTAAAAGCACGTTACAAATGAACACCTACGTTGCCTTGTACAAATTTGTACCACAAGAAAATGAAGACTTGGAGATGAGGTAAAGTTGATTATTTTTTATAATTTATTAGTTGATTTGACCCATGAGAACTGAGGCTCGTATGGCTTCAGGAGACAGTTCATTCTGACATTTGTACTAAACATTTTTTGTAGAGGTATCCAGTTACAGATACAAAAATATTCTCATAGATAAAAAGCTGGTGACCAACTTTTTTGGCAATAACACAATAGATAAAAAGTTTCAAAAACACATCACTTTAGGAGCTAGATGGCTTTCAGCTAGAAAATATTCAGTTTTCAGTTGCTTTTTTTCTTCAACCAGGATTTTTCAACATGGAATTCCTCACCAGCTCTCATGCTAATGCTGAATATTTTACCAGTCCTGTTTGATGTTCCCTCACTTTCAGATTATGCTTAAGAAAAGAGAACAATGTCCAGCTGCTGAACGACAGTGTTTTTACACGAGAAAGATGAATTCCAATCTTTGCAAAATAACCTTATAAATAAAATTTTTAACACTTCCTTTCTACGTTCTGCATCGGTTGCTAGCACTGCAAGGTCTAATCCAAGCCCACTGAAGTAAAAGGACATCTCTTCTTTTAGTACAATTAGTTTAGCTCATGCTACTCACATTTTGTATGGTCTTGCTAGAGCTCTTGTAGTGAAATGTGTCAGCTCTCTTCAAGGCATGCCCTATATCAAAATAATCATGCACATGCCACAGAATTTAGAGAATTGCCAGAGAAATGCCCCTCTCACCAACATCTCCTTTACTGAAAGCCTTTTTCCTGTTCCCAGCTGTGCCTTCTCATCACCCTGGAACTAAGGGGTGGGATGTAAGGCAGAAATTATAAGCTTCCCTATGATTCTGCTTTGCTGACATTTCCTCATCATTATTTTAGGAATGTCAGCTCTTCAGGAAATAACCACAGGGTATGGTGACCTTTAGTGCAACTTGCCAGCTATTCTGCTTGAGGGATTCCACTTTGCATCCTGCTCCTTCAGGAACGTGTTCCAGCTTGTGCATTTGTTCTATGAAGAGTAACACCGCTCAGACAAGCCTGCACTGAACTACCATCCTCATCGAGATATGGCAATCCAGAAAACACCTCATTCTCCAAAATTCAACTCTCTCTCATATTAGGGGAAAAAGCAACCTGCGGTCTGCAACCTGGACTGTCATGACTAACAACCTCTTTCCAGAGACACCAGCCACATTTTAGACTAGTGTTACTCAGCTACAGCAGCATTGTTTGACCCATGGCCAGAAATTCAGTAATATATAGGTTAAGGCTGTTTCATAAAGGATGCCAAAGAGCTAGTAATGTTGTTTGGTCACTGCAGAGCCAGGCAGGATTCAGCTCAGTTGCATGAATTTTTCTTTAACATAGTTGAGTTGCTGGAAATGGGTTCAGCATAGTCATGTTGTCAAGACTTGGTGTCCTTGGGACCCAAGTCAGGGACCAGCTGAACACTTATCAGCCCTAATATAATGAAGGCAAGGAGCAGGGAAAGAATCTGAGCTAGGAATTAGAGTTAGGGAAGACTTCTGGAGATCTCAGCTCACCTCTGAGGGTATGCAATGGGTGGCAGACTACTGCAGCGGAGAAGTGCCAGCCTTGATTTCAGCAGCAATTAGTATTCACCACAACCTTGATCTCTTCCTCAACAGCAGGAGCAGCCAGTCAGATTTCCCAAAGCTCTGGCATAAGTCAAGTAGGACATTCCAGTAATACACTTCTAAGAGATGGCCTTATTTTACTATAAGTAGAGAGTCCAGGAGGCAGGCAACCCCAGGTTTCAGACACTGCAAGTAACAGAATAGAACAGAACAGAACATTTGGAAGGGATCTACAGTGATCATCAGTGCTTGTCTGGCCACTTTGTGGCTGATGAGCACCTATCTTGCCACCTAGAGAAATTTAGAACACTGATGCAGAGCAGACAGCTTATCCAGGATTGTGATGTACAGGAGAAAAAGATGAGATCTGAGATCTGAAAGTGATTGCAACCAGCAGTAAACACCAAGCAAGTTTCCCCCTTTCAGGGATTAGCAACATTAAGTCTAGGAAGCAAGAGTAACACAGGTCCAGTTGGGACTTCTATTCTGGAGATTAGAGACATCCATGTTAGCCTTGTGCTAAAAAATATCAGAAAGCAAAATCTGCAGGTCTTGCATCTAAAAATCTCAGTGCTCACACCACTGACATGAAGAGACTTCAGGTTCAGTTGCCATCTTTCTCTGTCAGCCAAATATATGTGCATTTTCAGAGTTATTTTTCTAACAACCTGGCCATAGGATATTTGGAGGATGGGGCTCTCTAAATCCTTCTTGTTGAAATTGTTCTTCCTTGCAGTGTAAGGGCTCCAACCATGTTACAGGCTGTTCACTTTAGAGTGGCAAGATGGGCTCCCTCAAAACCTTTTCAAGTGTTTTATACTAAATATTATCTGTAATAAGGGACTCAAATGTCCTTTCCTATGGAAGAAGTCTTTTACCACTGGGATACCAAGTTGTCCTTTTTCTCTAGCTTCCTTTCTCACCTCAGCAATATTTAATTATTCCAAACACATTAGAACAACTTCCTGAGGAGGGCTTCAGGGAAACCCTACCCTGTTGCCCTGTTGAAAGTGCCTTTCAGTAAAAGCTGATAAACTGGTTCAGATCATGCTGAAAGACTAAATACCTGTTTCTCCAGTTTTCAGCAGCAATGATAACCATTGGGCAAGTGGACTAAAGAGGCCCAGCTGCACCCCACCTCCAGCTGCATCCTAGACAGGTCCACAGCTTCTATGCACGCTCTGGCAGAGCCTGTTAAATTGGACCCATTATCCATCACGTTCTCCAGATGAGTTTGCAAGGTCTTGTGCTGGTAACTCAACAATACAGTGAGCCTAACAGGAAATGCAAGGAAAGTTGAATAATTAGGGGCCAAACATTAATTTTATTAAGATCAAAGAAATGGCTTTTCTCAAGCAGACAGAGCTTTCCGAGGTTAATCCATTTGGAAATGGGCTGCCACTTTCTACAACACAGCACTATTATAATTACATAATAACGTTGATAAAGTGCCACCAATGGAGGGAAGGAGGTCAAATAAGTGTTCGACTACCTGCACAAAATCAGCTCAGCACATTTGGCTGTTAGCATTTTTTCATGGTTTTAACCCGGCAGGCAGCCAAAAGAAGAAGAAAATTAACTCTATCCCAGCTGAAACCAGGACACATTTCCAGCCAAATTATTCTCCTAGCTCTGCTTTGGAACTAGTCAGCTGGATGCTGATACTTAGCAATTACAACCCTGCACCACACATTATAAAGGTAAATACGTCCCATTCAAATCAAAAAGACATTCCTGGGCAGAATTATATCCCTGCTGACTAATTGCCTCTGTCAGTTAAATAGAACTATTTTCCTGTTGCCTTCCGTCTGCAATCACAGCTTGAAAATACAGATGATAAAGTGGTGTGTCCCAACAGAGTGAAATGTCCTGAAGTAACAAGATAATGCCTGTAACAAATAGGAACTGTATTTTTAAAAGTTTCTTATTAAACAGCAAGCAAAAAATCCAGTTCACAGATGTTGTCTTAAAATAAAGATCTAGCCCCAATATACAGACACTCTCTACATTATCACGTATGATTTTAAAAAAACTTTGCTGCCTCATTGAGTCTACCAGCAGTGAATGCTCAGATAAGATGACCAGGGAAGGACTACCTTCTTATTAGAAGGCAATTGTGGAAGCTGGTGCAGCAAAACAATTAAGAGTAATCTTAATCTACTTTTCTTCTTCTAATTACAGGCCAGGGGATATGATCACTCTTCTGGAAGACTCCAATGAAGACTGGTGGAAGGTATATGCTAATTATTTTATATTTATCTATTTTTTTTCCTAAGGGAAATGTATGTTATTCTCAATACTGAACTAATGTTAATGACCTTCTTCTATCAATATATTTTCTCAACAGGGGAAAATTGATGACAGAACTGGATTTTTTCCTGCTAACTTTGTTCAAAGAGTGCAACACGATGAGAAGATATACAGGTGTATCAGGACATTCATTGGCTGCAAGGAACAGGGACAGATAACTCTGAAAGAGAACCAGGTAAGTTCTCTTGTGCCTGATTCCCACTGCACTTGAGCATCCACCATTCTGACCAATGACTAGAGGGAAAGTTGTGCATGATGAGCACAGGCAGATGCTGTTCACTGCAATTTTACTACAAAGTCTATTATTTGTATGGTACTCATGTCTAGTAGCCAGTTAAGAGCAGTGTTGGTCTTGTGCATATGCATACCCTCTGCCATTCATAAAGATACTTTACATGTTATTCACTCTCCCACTGACTTCAGAGGGACAGCTTGAAGAGCATACATTCTTAGAGGTAGATCTTGTGTGCCTGAAAAATGGTTTGGTTTTCTCTTCACTGTTAGAGCAAATCTAATAAAAGACAGTAGCTCCCTCCCCAGACCTTGCCTTGCCTAAAGATCTAAATACAGTTCATTGTTTTGGCTTGAGCAGGAGCAGAGTTAAGACAGCAACAAGCAAACATGTAAATCTTAAATTTAACTCTTATTCACCAGTTGCAAAGTATCTTTAGTCATTAACTCCTTGTGTCACCACTTCAACAACCTCTCTACAGGCTGTAATTTATTCTAAATTAGAAGTGCTACTGTCAGTTCAAGTACACCAAGGGAGGACTCACAGGGTCCATTCATCCTGCTGTACTTTCAGCAGCTCCTTCTACTTCATGTCATTTGGACGGGTTCACAAGGTGAAAGCCAGGGCTGCCATTATGGGATGTGCCAGTGATCTGACTTTAAATGTGATTTTAAATTTTTACCAGACATTTAATACATCCAAGTGTCAAGACTGGTGATTCTGGGGTATAAATGCTTGTTGAGGTAAGTGAGAGAAGGATAGGGCTCAAAACCTACATTAAGGGACAGTCAGGTTTGTGGCATAAGCTCATGTGAATAGGAGGATGGCTGACTAAGGGTGACGTACAGCCTGGGTTCTCTGACATCTGGATGACATAGAAAGCTAGATTTTTCTCACTGCACCTTGTGAAGCCTAGTGTTCTTCCATTTCATTAGGAATTTCTCTTCCTTTGGCAACTGATGTCACATCACCAGGAATTGTTTGCCTTACCATGCCTGGACAACTACTGATTTTAGTAACGTAAAGCAGAAGTCAGGATGAGGTGGTCTTCAGGGCCATAGGTTTTTCCATGCAGAACTTCTGTAATGCTTCACTCCACTGGTGGATAAGGTTAACTTGTACCTTTACTGCTGCTGCCTTGTGGCATAGCAAAACATACAAGTGATAATAATCCTTGTGTACACACAGCTTTTGAGAGGAAGTTGTAGCAATACAGTAACCTGAATATTTTAACTATCCCTGTGAACGTCATACGTTGGGTAGCCCTGAAGTTGTTAGAAACAAAAGGTACTTAACATTTTTACCCAGCAAATCCTTTGATTGTTTATATATCTGCACACAGAGGGGAAAAGAGAAGCATAATGGGAGGTTTTTGCACCCGTTGTTATGTAGTATAAGGAAGGCACAAGGGTAAAGCTTGGGGGAATGATAGTGTAGGAACATGGCGTGCCACCATAAGGTCAAGGTCTGAGTCCTTTCTCATCAGTGAGCATATCAGATCCTCTCTGTTAGAGCAGCTGCTGCAGCAAACAGTGAGGGCCCAGTTTCTTGTCTCATTTCTCACAAAACCACAGTTTCCAAGTTTCCAGTTTCTGGCAGCTTCATCTAAACACAAGGATTTCCTATTGTCCCTATTTCATAATAGGCTCACAGGGGTGCTCACCATCAGGAGCTCATCATCGTTTCTGGTAGGGCAGGAGGTAGAGATGAATTCATCCTGTCTGTTCATCCTGAATTCATCCTTCCTCTTATTTTAGCAAACTTTTTCAGCCCTATCTCAAACCCACGCAAATTGTGAGGTTGAATGTGAATGCTGTTGAGTCCTCACTCCACATGGGAGAGGCTTCAGAGGACAAAAGAAATAAATATTTGGTGTAAAACAGGGGTCAGAGATCAGACTGAACAAACACAGGAATGCAAAAACATGAGAGGAAAGAAGTGGAGCCAATAGATCCCACTCCATCCTCTCACAAATTATGCAAAAACGGGACATTCAAGTGGCTTCAAGGCTATTTTGAGTAACTTCCAGTCTGAGTAATGTCCAGTCACAGCAAGGTCACAGACACTCATCTGCTTCCCACTGTTCCTCCGTACAGGGTTTGAGCCCCCCATACCAGCCCCAGTGAGAGCTGGCAGCCTGCACAGGGCCAACGTGCAGCAGCAGCATGGGATCAGGAGCACAAAGACTCCCGAGCCCAGTCTCCCACGGCACATGTACCCGCCATGGAGATCACTGGCTGAATAGCACAATTTTTAATTTCTTTTTTTTTTTTTTTTTAGCAGAACACCTTTGCCTTCACTGTGGAACAACTCTTATTATGAAAAACATTTTAATTGTTATTGGGAATTTTTTAGTTTAAAATTTTAGTTTATATGTCCAAAGTCAATATTTTTTCTTCTTTCTTCAGCCATTCCTTCTATTTTCTGTCCCTTATTTCCCTGTTGTTTTCCGTGTGAAGCAGAGAGAGGGGTGCAATAGGGAAGACATAAAAAGAAGAAAAAAAAAAAAGTCATCCAAATGGGACTGCTGGGAAAAGTTTGGCAGAATTATTTTCTTTCTTTTTTTTTTTCTGTTTAGTTTTGTTCTGTTCTGTTCTATTTGGTGATTTCTGTGGGATGTAACCAGCCATTTTAGCTGTCTCTAGGCACAGTGTCCAGAGTGCTGTGAGCACTTGCAAAGCTCTGACTTGTTCCAGATTAGCAAGAAGGAGAGATTATTCATTGCTACCAGTTCCTGTCAAATCTCACTTCAGCTAGAAAAACTCTTTAACCAGTCTAATAAATTCCTGTGACTATAGTACAGTGAATTGTCTCCATTTTATACTGTTAATTCACTGAGTCAAATTCAGCAGGGTCTAACGAGTTCAGAACCATTCTGACAATGAAGGCAAGAACGATATGCCAACAGGAACACTTATCCAGTGATAGTAATATGAATTTTCAGTATATTGCTTGATACTATCCACAGTTTATACTGCAGGTCTTTATCCTCTTTGTGCCTTATATGAATGTTTCCAGGTAGAGAGTCTATTCTTGTAAGGCAAAAAGTAGTGTATTCCCATCACAAAGCCACAGGAATACCTTAAGAAAAGCTGTTTCAGGCAAGCAGAGATATTTTCAAAGTTTGAAGCACAGTGGGTGAAGGCTTTCTCTGGAATCACTTGTGAGTTTCATGTCCTGGGAATAACATCAGCTTGATGCAAACCGTTATGGCAAAGCTAATACTCAAGGCGAGGCCTTAAGGAAAATCAACACAATTTGATCACCTATCTTGAGCAATATGCAGGAGCTAGTCTTCACAAAAGACCCCCCTGAAAATTTCATTATGAAATATGAAACCCAGCCTGGGGGAGAAGTGGTATACTGCTTCAGAGACATCAACATCTTGGAGCTTAGTGTTCACTGACAGATTTGAGTGTCCTGAAAAAAATTCAGAAGACGACTGGGCACCACAGGGCTCAATCAGGAATCTGTAGAAGGGAGGCAGAATTAGCCCCTGACATCAGTAAAGCAAGATTATTTACAGGGAAACCAGAAACAGCCAATTTCTGTGGCTTTCTACCCTTTTAAGCTGTCTCACACACAATACTGGCTGCATAATTTCCAACTCTGATTGATTGTACTTGGATATATAAAGTTTTCTCCAGCCTGTAACTTCTGCTCTAGCCTACCCGAGTTCATTATCACATATTATACAAATGCTTCTTTGCACGACTGTATGCTCTGATTTGACCTTTTTCACAAAAGAAAATGTCACGATTTTGAAAAGATGTATCTAACAGATCATCAACGCTTGGAAATGCATCACTTAAAATGCCTCTAACGTTTTTGATCATCCTTATTTTTAAAGAAGTCATAATAATCTTTTGTTTGAATGTCTGTTTTTACTCCTCTTATTACATCCTACTTAAACAAAAGAAATAACCTCTTTAAAAGAAACCTACTCACACTCTTCACTGGCAGCCTCTCTGATGCCTACAGTCACACTAATACAAACCACTGTAGAGTTGGGCTTTTTGTAATTAAATAACACAATTGATTTTAAATTGCACAAGTGATCTTGTGCAATAGAAATGACCCCAAACCATGACATTTACAACAAGACTGGCAAGCAGAAATTCTCTGCCTCATCCAAATGTGGACCGTGAGTTTACATAAAGGTCAGTGTAACAGATCCATTTTGCAGTGGAAGTGTTTTATAAATGCCACTGATGTAAACTAGCCCTGTTACTGAAAGCATCTCCCAGCCAGCTTCCGTGATGACTGCAAACGGGCCACTACTGTTGTGATGGCCACAACCTCCAAACCAGAGCTGTCAGCCTTGCTGTCACCATGGCACCACAGGTCAGAGGACAAACTTCCTTCCTACCCCCAACACGCAGTCACATAAATTTCAAAAAGAGTGGCTTTTAGGCCTGTGTACATTAGCAGCTGCGTGCTGATCTGACCCAATCACCCCAGAAGAGTCTGGCAATGGGCTTAAACAAATCCATGAGGTTAGGCTTAAGAAGGCAGGATTGCAGTCCAGGTCTCCAGCTCCAGGGGATTCACCTATCTGAAGTCTTCTTCTGATTAGTCTGGATGCTTTGTTGCTACCTGGCTTTTTACTTCACTGCCTAGAGATTACTTTGTGTCCTCACATTTTTCATCCTGGGATACTCTAAAAGGAGCTGAACTTCTAAAAGCATGACTCAGCTGCCTTTGAAAATCAGTTTGCATTACCGTGAATTATGCATTCAGACTGAGTCACTTAAAACACAAACCCAGCTCAGAAAGTGATGTTGCAATTCTTATGTGCTCCCCAGCTGTAACTGCTGCACTTCACAGCTAGGCTTAAAGGGAAAAGGGTCTTTTTCCAGCTATCTCTGATTTTCATCGATGTCAGTCTTGCTGAACAAGGATGGGTGTCCCCATTCATTCATACATACTGAATGACATACAAGTTTTGCAAGAGTCCAGTACATAGCACAGCCCATTATGCATCCAGTTTAGTCTAGGTCATCTTTAAAACCCTAAATAAGTGCTGTAGGTAAAATAAGCTGGTGTTCCTAGTCCAAAAGCTAATGAAACAGCTGATATAAAACCTGTCATCATCATTTGCACTATAGTTGAATGGGTATGAGAACTGAACTACTTACTTTTCATCTACAAAGCTCATGTAGGCAAGAACTTCACTGCACAGGCAGCAGCAGATGTAGAAACTCAGTGTCTCTGTCCTTTCATTCTTACAGACAAACAGAAAACTTGAGCTTTCAAACCTCTTGAGCTGGCACTGTCTGCAGGCTCCAGGACAGCTCTTGAAACTGTACTTTCTCATAACCAAATTTCTACTTCATCAGGACTGGTCTGTGACTGACAGATGGGTTAAATATATGGGAGAGCAAAGATAAACTAAAGACAGTTGCAGAAAATTAGAGCAAGTTCAAAGTTACTCCTGGAGAAAGACAATTTACCATTTGAGCCCAAATTTAAAACATAGGACTTAGAAGAACAGGAGAGTACTAATGACCGTGCAGCTTAAAGGATCATCTCTTAATTGCTCATCTCCCCATCTGCTTGGGGTTGACTGATGAATAAAAAATCCTGAAGGCAGATGTTGACAAGTTCAGACAACAGTCACGATCCAAACAGTTGCTTTCTTTTTAGTGTTATTTTGATTTTTTAAAACAAATGAGATGAAAGAACAGAGAAGTGACTTTATAATACTAGATCCCACTTTCATCTGATTCTGAAGGTAACTTGATGACTGAGAAATAGCCTGAGATGTGGTTTCTTACCCTGTGGCTTACTCCACTACTAACCTCTTGAGCCAGAGTGCAGGATAAAACCCCAACTGTTTATCTCCATTTGTTTTGCTACCAAATTCACTGGGGAGTGACTGCTCAGTGGCTCACTTTGTCAGACCAGCAGCCTTCCCCCCAAAAAATGCCAGCTGAAGTAGCTGCCTTTTTCAGCAGTTTCCAATTTGATACAGCAAACCGTGAGCACCTGGTAGTAGCTATGGGACCTCGTGCCTTCACAACAATCATGTTTGCTGTCTGTCACCAGGGCTAGTCCTCAGCAACAGCTGATTCATCAGGTGAAATCCAAAACTCTGAATACCACCATGCACTTACCTGGGCTTACTCTTGATTTACACTCACCTAAGAAAGTCAGGAGCAAAATCCCAAAGCTACAACTTGTGGGTGAAATACTTGGCAGCACTCACAAAATGGAATGAGGACAAAAGTGGCCAAAGATGGTGTTGTGTTTCCTCTCTTCTGAAACTGCAGAATTTGGAGCAGCTTCAGGTCTTTGCAAAACTCTAGCAGCTGTCACAGCCCCAGGAGGCCTCCTGAGTCACATAGGATTAGGAAAGTGTGGCATATTGTGACCGAGCTCACTCTGCCCCCAACACATCCCCTTCCTTTGGAAGGAGTGGGGAAAAAAACTGCCAGACAGGGACTGGTGCATGCAAGGCGTAGTGTATTAGTGTGAGAGAATTTCAGCTGGAATTTGGGTGAATTCAGACCCATGTATTAGTATGCAGAGTCAGAGAAGTTCTTACAGAAAGGCCTTGTATGTCTCATGCCCAGTGAAGATCTAAAGCTATTGCTGTAGCAGAGCACTCTCGCTGATATCAAGGAGCACTCAAACCAGCAGCAGAACTGAAAAAAAAACTCTAAAAAAAGACCAGATCTGCCATCCTTTTTCACTCCAAAGATAAAGAAAGCCAGCGTTCATAGAGTTCAGTATTTTTATTTTGTCCACAAATCATTCTGCTGACAGTACAAGACATCGGGGAAAAGCACTCTGTTCTCCCAATATGTTCTGCACAGCACCAAAGGTTAAGCAAGAAATGCAGCATGGCTAGTGAGCAGTGCAGACCTGCTTCAGGTCCCTTCTGGAGATCTGACTACTTTTGGGGGTTTCTTTGGCCCATGCAAAAAGCTAGAGGTCTTGCAGACACCTTTAGTTAGGAGGAAAGCACGGTAATGGAGGCAGGCATTCCTTTTAACCAGCCAGGTCTATTTATAGAGAAGCTGCAAAGGCTCATTTCCCACACAGCAGCAGGGATCAACCGAGAAGGGGCATCTTTCAATCAAGATGCTCTTTCCTACTCTTGGATACTGCCGTGCTCAGCTATCCTCAGTCTGGTGCTTCTTCGTCACTTTTTCTCTCATCATTGAAGTTTTCATAGTCTTTCTTAGAGACACAGATCAACTTTTAGCAGTGATCAGAAACACCTGTCTGTGTACTTGTGCTTTACACCTTTCTGCTTCAAATGGTGATGTGGCTGGAGAGGGAGCAGCTGCTGTACCAGAGATTCATGACACAAATGGACTTGGCTCTTTTGCAACAATACCTAAACAGCATCAATTCCATACCTCTCCCATGCTTTCTGTGTGATTTCACCCGAACAACAATACTTTTTTTTTTTAATTGCATGTCAGCTCTGTTGGCATGCTCAGTCATTCTTCCCCAGGGATCCAATTCAGTTAGTGTTAAGTGGGTAGCTTGAGTAAGAAAATTAATGAGTCCATTTGCTTTCCAAATCTTTGTTTGCTGGTACAGGGATGCACCTGACCATTTCAAAGTACTGGAGGTGGCAAATACGAAGCAGTTTCATCTCCTTTTTATGACCTTTCATTTCCCTCTGGCAGCATCGGTGTTACTAGTAAATTTTATGTATGTAATGACAGGAGGACAAGCTGGCCCAGAACTTGGATGTGATATTTAGGTGTCATCATACAATCCATAACAGTCATGTTGAAATGCATGGAACATTGCCAAGCCAATTTTTTCATTATTTCATACCCTCTGAATTATTGCAAACACTGTAAATACCTGGGAGACAGAGCCCTTGTTAGTCCAGACAGAGGGCTTTAAATACTTGACACTGACATCATGAGAAAGTGGTGAGATGGTCTCAATAGGACCCTCAGTTTTACAGCTATTTTTTCACTTTATTTGATTAGTAGGAAATACATAGCTCCTTGGCACAGATGTTTGAAACCAATTCTTTATTTCGTGCAGCTCTGTGCTCAAGTGCCCTGTCTAAAGTACCTGTGCCACTAGGCTTTCAAATGGCTCAGCCGTTACCAAAAGTATTTCAGGATGAGCCCTAAAATGGAAAGGCTTGAGATCACAAAGATCTTCAGGAAATGTAAACTTTTACCATGCTGTAATATTTGTACTATTGTGAAGACCATACGGTTTCACCATAATTGCCTCCACTTGGAGTAGGTGTTATGCAAACACACTCACAGATCTGGGTTCAGATCAAAGACTTTGGTATCCACAACAGGCACAGGCACCTGTAGATGCAAGAGTTGAGTAAATAACGTAAACCACTACCCATCTGAGAAGTACATGGGCTCCTTAAACATGCAAAAGAGAATTTGCTTGCATTCAGATCAGCTGCTACAAGTGAGCCACCTTGGCATTGTGATTACTTTCCACCAACTGTTGAGGGAGCCAGCTAGCTCATGATCTGAAATACCCAATCCTCTCATACACAGACAACTAAATCACAATCGTTACAATAGACTGAAGTCATAATTCAGGTTTCAAAATCTTTGATCCACCACAAAGTTCTTAATGATTTTAATGTCTCGCATGTATATGTGGCACTTCAGGGAGGCAGGGGGAAAGGTAACTCTAAATAGGTGAGTTTGAGTTTCTTATCAAAGCAGTGAGACTCTGAAAGGGATCGTTCTACTTATAGAAGTAACTAGCAGGATGTCTAACTCAGCTGATAAATAGCCTGGAATGATTTGTTGCTTGATCATGGCAAAGAGTTTATTATTTTCATGTTTTCTTTGCATTCAGATTTGTGTGACTTCTGAAAAGGAACACGATGGCTTTATCAAAGTATACAGCGGGAAGAAGAAAGGTTTTGTCCCCATAGATGTCTTAGAAAACATCTGATTTCAACAGCCCGCTTGCTGCAGTAGGAGCCCTTTGTTGGCAATGCCTGTCTGCCTCATCTCACACTGTGTCAACCCAGATGGGCTGTCTTGCAGATGTTCAGGGAAACAGCGAGAAAACTGCAACTACAAGAAGAAAAAGACATTTAGACTGCCACAGCAACACTAAGGAATAAGAAAGTGCAATGTTTGACAGGAAATACAGTCAGAAACCATAGGGAAGTGGGAGTTCCTTGGATACTAACAGGAATAAGGAAAAAAAAAGTCTGAGCTGATTTCTGGTGCAAGATGGCTGTTACGACCCTGATGGAGACAAATAGCTTGTTCTGAACGACTAAACTCATGTCCTGTTCTTGTGTCTTAGAAAACTGTTGGACTGCTTTCTTGTTTGAAGTGTGTGTGTATTTAGGGGGGAGGGGGGAAATACCATTCAAACTGTCCTTGTACTACAGTCCAATGCTTGTAGTAAAGTGTGGCTGTGGTTTTACAGTTTTGTCCCCAGTATCAACAGATCATTTTAAGCGTTTAATCCTGGTGTTTAGTCTCATAAAAAAGCAGTTTGGAGACGCCATGTGAATGTCAGTCTGAGAAAAATGCACTGTGCCCTGGAAGTCGGCAGCTTTCTCTTTCTGTGCAATTTTCCCATGTGAAAGAGTAGCGAACTTGTATGTCCTTTGTTTTCTCTGTATACGAACAAAAGCTCTCAGCGTACGTCAGGTGTGATGGCTGCTCTCATAGCTCACAAAAATAGGCGGTCCTCTGATTCACAAGTCTGCTTGGAAGCTTCCCTTTGCGTTTCCTGCACCTTTATCTGGTGATACACAAAATGGGCGAAATGCTGGGAGAGCACCACAGGCTTGAAACGTTTTATATTTTTCTGTGTTTATTGCACTTAAAAGATTTTATATATTAATCCTATTTATAAAAAATAAAAGTTAACTAACCCCTTGGAAGACTGAAAAAAAAGGACAGACTGAACACAGAAGTGGAGTCTGTAATTATCACTATCCAGAAGTCGTGACAGAAAGGCACTGAGTGTCTTCGCGTTGTATTCACACATCACAGGCGTCATCTTCAGTTGCTAAATAGAAGTTTTGCAGATTCAGCAGTAAATACACTGACATGAACTCTTCCTTGGCATAAACCACCGTGAACATCCTGTAAATCCTCTCCATCCCAATGAGACTGTGCAGACAGGTGTGTTTTGTCCATGTAAGCCTCCATCTTCCAACATGCTTTGTGCATATGATCCTGTTGGTACCTGGAGAGCAGTCTGTGGGAACTGTGGATCTTGACCAAATTATACATGTCAGCCAGGTGCCAATCCTGTTGTAGAGCAGGGGCCTTACGATGTTTAAAGACAGGGAACCTAATTTCCAAGTATTTAATTGGATGTAATTGCACCAAATACACTTAAACAGCTTAGCATGTATTATGACGTAGAGATAAAGTCCTGTCCCAAAGCCTCATGCTGACTTCATGCCTTATTTGACCAGACTAAGACAGAATGCCAGTCTTTACTGCGATTAACCCCAAATCAATGTCCTAAATCCTGACACTGCAAGAAGAAATCCACATGCTTCCAGGTTAGTATAGGCCTTTGCAGAGTTGACACTATTTCTAAAAACAAGCCATCAGTCCTGCTTCCAAATACTGGGGCAGTTTGAATCTGTGCTGCAGGTCTCAACAGTTGGGTTGCCCTGTATGAATAGCTGATCTTACACAAAGCCTTATGAAATCCAGTGCAACTCTACACATGACCAGAAGTTCACAGAGCAGATCAGTCTTCAACCTCTCAGACACGCATTTTGCAGCTCTTATGTATCACTTAACTGCAGAGGAGAACGTTGCAAGGGTGTCAACTGTGGAAACGTGGTCTTTCATAGCGTAAGTGATCTATACCAATTATTAATGTCCTCCTGGGTGATTGAAAGTATCTGATTTCATATCTTCTGTGGAAATATCAGCAATTTATAAATGGGTTTTTTTCAGTTCAAACAACATTTGCTCAGCTCATTTTCCTAAGTAACCAATAAACTCAGTGGGAGGACAGAGGATTCTGATAAGCCTTAAAGATCAAGAGGAAAAGCAGTAAAGACATATTAATCCACTCTGCTTTATAAGATTAATTTTTTTATATGTTCATCCATTCAAAAGAAAAAGTCGTGTTAAAATTAAAGTATTTGCTACTTTTGACCAGGCCTGTCAAGTGGGCAAAGGAAATCTGTATTAATTGATACGTGTGCTGTTGTTTACATAATTGCATCATACTGTGATTCCCTCCTATTTCGGTCTTCTACGATTTCAGTTTATCCCTACAATGTGTATCATACTATTCAAAGAATTATATGGATATTACCTACAACTCACAATGGCCTTTAATCAATCTCAGTTTTATTCCTTTTTATACTGAGCAATAAATAATAAAGTGACTGAGTAAAAACAAAACAGACCTTATGTGGACTGTATTACATCTGAGAAAACATTGCTTCTGAACCAAAGCTTTAATGGTTATCTTTTCTGTGTGTTTTTTTGTTTTGTCTTTCTACCGGGCTTTTGCTGCTGTGTGATATGGAGATGTAATTTATGCCTAATTTAGCAAGAAGCACATACATGAGTCTTACTTTAAGCATGTGATTCATTGGCTATTTGCATGCCTAAAGCTGAAGCACTTTGCTGAATTAAGGTCGTTTTCCTTAAATTTGTTTTGGATGCCTTACTCTGAATCCAGAGGAGTATCCCATCTTTTTTTTTGCCTACCATATGCAGTTCACAATAGATCCTGCATTAGCAAGCAGTTAAAAATCAGACAGAAGATGGAATGGACTTTATCTGACGTATGCTCAGAAAAATTGAATTTTAGGAGACAAATGTTGTTCACATTTAATTTAATATTCTGCTTAATAAAGACTACGCAATGGTTGGAAGGAGAATAGCAGTGTACATTTCTTGGCTGCTTTGCATCAGACTGTACCATTTTCAGTTATCCACCTTCAAGAATATGCACTAAACCCATCAGCAACAGATTTTACTGGGCATTTACATATAAAATCTACAGCATATGAGTTTGCCACGTTTAGCAAACATTTCCAGAGTAGTTCTTCTGCAATGTATGTAGCATGTGTAGACTCGGAGTGAAATTTTGTGGTGGGCCCATCCTGAACAATTGTTTCTGGCAGATAAGAATGTATTTTAAGCCATTCAACATCTCATTGCAGCATAAAACTAGCTACAGAATATTTTCAGAAGTGTTAGGAACAGTTGATCAACATGAATTGAGGATGAGCTGCCTGAATCATGATTTCCTCCTGTTCGTAAATAACACAATATCTTAGTTTATTATCATCTTTCTCTACTCCTGGCCATTTTGACTCAGTGACTTCCTTCTGAGACAGATGCTGCAGTGCACAGTCAGCTGTGAACTCATTGTCCCAGGGGAGCTAAGATACTTACTCCTGAAAACACTGTGTATCTTTAGCATTGCTTACAGGCCTTTTTTTGTAATTATTTGTTGAGATTCAATTGACTAAATATAGAACCCAGTGCCATTGTAGACAGGATAGGTTGTCAGAGGAACCTGCACAGGTCCGGCAGGCAGTGACATTGGAGATTTGGAAGAGCCATGACCTTCTGAAGAGGCCACTGGAGACCATGTAAGTTATCTAAAATGGCACTAGACAGATGTCTTTGGGAAATGAACCTAACTCTAGACAGATGTCTTGGGGAAATGAACCTAACTCATTTATTTTAAATATGTGCAGACAAGTCTGATTTATTGAGCACTCAAATTACATCTTTCTTTCCCTAAAGAACATTGAATAAATGCAGCAAATCACATCAATCTTGTCCCATTTAAGTCCACGGTAAAAGGAATCCTTGAATGCCACAGGGACTGGAGTTCAGGTATTATCTTGGAAAAGGCTAATCAATGTTACTGTTTTCCCAAAAACCCATGATGTAATTTGTCTGATCTAACTGTAAATATCTAAAATTAAGCTAGTAAATCAATGTGCTTTCCCCCTTCCCCAGAAAAGAGAGTAACAAGCACTTTGGTACTATGTTTCGTCTAACTGACTGAAGATTTCTGCTTTTCCACGACTTAGATTGTGCCTCCAAGTGCCTATTTCTACCCATTGACAATCAAGGGAGCACTGGGTAGCTGGGTCAGATGTAGACCTCTGCAGGTGTAACATCTGTATCAGGGCAGAAGAATTCCTAGCCCTGATTTCTGGCTATGTAGGTGTAACATACCTATGTGTAGTACATACATCTGACTATCACGTGTCTGTTTGGTACGTTTTACAATGACTCTGAAGTTACTAGTCACGGTTATTATTAGAAATTAGAGAAGAGGTGCGTTTTTTACCCCGTTTTCCTTCTATATTTTTCTTTACTGGCTGGTGGACAAGGGTGGTTTCCTAAATAGAACATTTTGCATTTAAACACAAGCATAACTTTAATACTATATAGAAATGATCCTATTAAGGACATTTTAATTTAAAATACTGAACATGAAGAATATTAGCATGGCCCTATCCCTGCCTGTAAGAATATTGACTATCCACAAGTTCCCAGAGCAACAGTAGCACACACTTACCATATGCCTAGGGAGGCAGTTTTGTGTGTGGTTCATTTTCTATTATTTCAGTTTTTCTGCTGGACAATGTTCTGAGATGCTACAAATCACCAGACTGAATAGCACTGGTCGGGGTAATCAGACCAGGGTGGGTGTTGCTGTGCTCCTTCACACACAACAAAAAGCAAAATGTAGATACGTATTTTCTGTTCATTGATGATACGCTTATCAAATAGCTCATACAGCAATGAAAATAAGCACAAAAGAAAGAGAACAAGTACACAATACGTCAGGTTCTCTTTAAAATCATGATAGAGGAGTGTGAATGACATGCTCATGCATACTCCTGTACTTTGCTCTATTACAAATAGAGTCAGACTAACACAAGTATTTAAATTCATATTTAAGATATTTCATAAAAATCT